CTGTTTTATTATCAAGGCTGTACAGATAACTCCCATAAAACACTTTACAAAGAATTTAATAAGATTAACATCATGAGACCAGCTGATATCATCCAAAAAATTCCTTAGACCGCCTATCTAGTATTCCATGTGCTCGTGCAAGCAAAGTTTCTTGTCGGATCAGGGCATCATCGAGACCTTTTAATTCCTGAACGTATATGACTTTTAACTCAACCGAAAACCAACAATTACTTTACTACTCACATCTTCATAAACTTCTTCAGGATGATCAAGCTGCCATTGCAAGTCGATTTTTGTAAATTCAGAACATACATCCAAACACGAGTCACGAAACTAAAAACAAATTGAGAACTCCTCCAAAAATGGTTCTACTGCAGAACGTAGGAAGATGAGTTTCTTGGATGGATTATCGAGAAGATTACTGGACTCCAAATTATCGGACTAGGGTGCCAAATCATTGATTTTTACATCACCACATCAATCCACTTCTTCCACAATTTACCAAAACTTGTCCATTTTACTGCGAAACTCAATGTCTCTAAGGGTATTCCATACTTCATAAGGATCGGTCGATGCTTATAAGCGCAGTAAGAACGGCTGATCAAGGGTGCGCCGCGGTTCCGTTGCGGCGCCGCAGTTGAATACCATTGTGCTTTCGGTACTCATCTTTCCGGCGCATTTGCTGCCGACTTCTGGAGACTCTAACACAACCTAATGAAAAAAAGCAAACCAAAGTCCGAAGAAAAAAACGCGTAAAAGCTGGAAAAGAGCGAAATTAGGCCAAATCGGACTCAGCAGAGGTGCCGCAACGCACATCGCCCCTCGATCGGGCACTTATTGCGCTTATAAGCGTTATAAGGATCAGCCGATCCTTATAAAGTTTGGAGATACCCTAAGAACATCTCCATACTTCATAAGATGTGTCGATCAAGGGTGCGGCACAGATGCGCTGCTGCAGAGACAATATCAACCAAAATACCCTCCTGCTTCAAACTATGCTACACTTTCTTCTTCACAATTTGGCTTGATTTCCTGCAGGCAGCGCTGATTCACTAGTTTGTAGCAACTTTTGGGTCAAACAAGTTTAACTGCTCACTGCTTAAAGAATTTAAAGTGTTTGAAAATGGATTAATATAGCTACGTCTATTGAAGTAAGAGTTGTAATTAAGGCATTAAGCCATGAAGCGCATGAAAATCAACATCATGGATTTCAATAATACTACTGTTAATTTTATCCCTTTGTGACAACGCACTCCGCTGATGCTCTCGTTCCACAAGAAGTAGGCTACTGGAAACTTCACAAAAGAGAATTAAGCCAGACCCCGAAAAAGAAAGCGCGGCACAGCTAGAAGCTGGGAATTCCACTTGATATCAATCTTCACCGTAACGCAACCGTGCCACATTCTCGACTGGCCGGTCCTCATGAAGTATGGAGATACTTAATTTTGCGTGAAACCTTAACGATGTTGTACTCATAAATTTTGAAAACCTTTTAGCAGCAAGTTTTTGGATAATAAAATCACATTTAATCATGCGCTTTTTTTGTCAGAATAAATGCTACTGTAGCGTTGTTAATTTCCACTTTAAAAAATGTTTGGATGAAGTCTTGATAAACGAAATGTGCAATTTCTAATAATGCTTGCAAAAATCTGAGCTATGCGCCAGGTTACGCAAAATTGCCAACAAAAGAAACGATACGAATTGCAAAGAAGGAAGTCTTCCGTCTGGATATTTACCAAGCTTATAAATAAATTACGTGACATTCTTCGTAACACCATTGACTAATTTGTTCGAACTTAAGCGACAGGAAAGCGTTTGAAAAAAACATCTTGAGCTAAACAGTCTGGGATAAGATGAAAGGTTGATTACGGTGTGTGAAGAGTGCAGATTTCAATGTGCAACCTCTTGATGGTTTAAGTTTTCAATGATATTTTGACAGCAAACAGATACTACATTTCTCTTCTAAAAATGTTGTTTGGAAAAAATAATGAACGACAAATGACCTAACTCACATGATACATTGATATCTCAACTACTTCTTTCACATGGTCGATCGTTGAAGGAGCTGGAACCGGTGGGCGTGATGAGACGTTCGATAGAAGTTGAGCCCAGCGAACGAGCAACGAGTCAATTGCATCGCCAAGAGGTGTCTTTTCCAATTCCTTGTCTTCATATATTAAATTGGCTGGTTCTTCTTTTGTTGCTGAAAAGGGATGAGTACGTGAGCTAAATTAAAAACGCAGCAATTCAAATGATATCATGGAGATGGAGCAATTTAAACTGGTTATCGATAGTAAACATTAGTGTTTTAATGAATGGAAACAAACAAAGCCAAACTTTCCAACACTGTTCATAAAACAGTAAATCTGTTGATAAAGGTGTCCGCCTTACATAGACTCTTACATAACCAGAGGATCGAAGTATAATCCGTGCTTTTACTTACTGAACCATTTTTTCAAGCTGATTTTCCACAACATGTCTTGTTGAGCTTTTATGCACATAGAACCACATTCACGCTTTCCATGGCAGATGTCTATTTCAAATCAATTAGACTTTAGATGGATTTTAATGAAGAGTGGAATTCATATATAGAGGTGACCAGAAAGGCTTGACAAAACATGCTGAACAACTAAACATAAAAGTGCAAAAAATTTGAAAAGAGGGAAGATTATCTTTACACTTGAAATATCTTAACTTAGAAATGAATAAACTTCTTACTCTTTGTGCCATCGGACGGAGATGACATGGGCGAATCGTCTCCTAAAACTAACTGTTTTAACTGTGACATCGCTGGCGATCCTTTCACATCTGAAAAAAAAAGATATTAAAAAAGAAAGTACATCATATCTTCAGCCAATCAGGTGAAAACATCGACAGTGTTAAGACGACGAGATAAAAGAATAACTAAAAGAAGAAAGTAGCTTACCTTCCATTTGAAACTGTTCTATCAGGTAGCTGTTTCTCAATTACAACGTT